TGGTTAATATTGTTAGTGGTTTATCAAGGTTATTTTTTCAAAAAACAAGTATTTTTCTCTCTCTTTTTTTAGTTTTGCTCTGATTTTTATTTCTTTCTTCTACTGATTTTGGATTTGCTTGTTCTTCCTGTTCTTGTGTGGCATTAGGAGGTTGTTTATTTGTAATCTTTCTACTTTTTGATATCGGCATTTGTTGATATAAACTTTCTTCTTAGCACCGCTGTTGCTATATCCCGTAGGTTTTGGTATATTGTGCAATGATTTTCGTTTGTTTCAATAATTTCTTGTATTTCCTTTCAGTTTTTTCCTTGACCCAATGATCATTCAGGAGCGTGTTATTTAATTTCCACATATTCGTGCAGCTTTTTAGTTTTTCTTGTTGTTTATTTCTAGTTTTATTTTATTGGAGTCTGAGAAGATGTTTTATAGGATTTCAATTTTTAAAAATCTGTTAAGGTTTGTTTTGTGTCCTAAAATGTCTGCCTTGCAGAATGTTTCATGTGCTGATGAGATGAATATGTGTTCCGTAGCTGTTGAATTAAAAACTCTGTAAATGTCTGTCAGGTCCATTTGGTCGAAAGTGCTGTTTGTTTCTAAGTAACCATTATTTTTCTGAGATGGGGTCTTGTTTTGACACCCGTGCTGGAGTGCAGTGATATGCCCATTGGTCACTGCAGTCTCAAACACCTGGACTCAAGTGATCCTGCTACCTCAGCCTCCTGAGTAGCTAAGATTACAGGCACATGCCATTATACCCAGCTAATTTTTGTAATTTTTTTATGAAGACAAGGTCTCATTATATTACCCAGACCAGTCTTGAACTTCCGGGCTCAGCCTCCCAAAGCACTGGGATTACAAGCATAAACCACCATATCTGGCCTAGAGTAAAATGTGTATCCAATATTTCTTTGTTAATAGTCTGTCTGGATATTCTGTTTAATTCTGAGAGTGGTGAGTATTGCTGTATTGGAGTCTATCCCTTTAGCTCGAATAATATTTGCTCTGTCTATCTATGTGCTCTAGTGTTGGGTACATCTATGTTTAGATTTGTTCTATCCTCTTGGCGAATTGATTTCCTGGTCCTTATATAATAATTGTATTTCTCTTTTTTAGAGTTTTAGACTTAAAGTCTGTTTATCTGATATAAATATGGCTACTCCTACTCATTTTTAGTTTTCATTTTCATGAAATCTCTTTCACCATCTCTTTACTTTCAGTCTACAAGTTTTTACAGGTGGGATAATTTTTTTTTTTTTTTGAGTCAGAGTCTCACTCCATTGCCCAGGTTGGAGGGCAGTGGCACGCTCACAGCCACCCCCGTGTCAGCCTGCTGGGCTCTGGTGAGCCTTCTGCCTCGGCCTTTCAAGTAGCCAGAACTACAGATATGCACCCTCCACCTGGCTAATTTTTTTGATTTATTGTAGAGACCAGGTCTTGTCAAGTTGCCCAGGCTGGTCTTGAACCTGCGGGCTCAGGCAATCCACTCATCTTGGCCTCCCAAAGTGCTGGGATGAAAGGCTGAGCCACCAAGCCTGACTGGGATAAAGTTTTTGTAGGCAGGATGTACACGGGTCTTGTTTTTTAATCCACTCAGCATGTCTATAACTTTTAAGTGAAAATTTTAATCCATTCCAGGTTGTTATTGATATGTGAGAGCATATTCCTGTCATTTTATTAATTGATCTCTGGCTGATTTCTGGCTGTTTTCTATATCCCTTAATTCTCTTTTTTTCTCCTTATCATTGTAGTTTGGTGGTTTTCTGTAGTGTCTATTTCTGCCCTGCTTTTCCTGTTTGCTGGAATTCTAAGGGTAGGAGTACAGGAGAAATACGGAGGTGTTGATTCACACTGGAAATCTGCAAACACATAAGTATAAATCTGTATATAAAAACTTTGAAATACTTATTTTGGAATTTCTCATTCATTCCACAACATTTGCTAAGTGGCTAGATTGGGCCAAGTATGAAATTAAGTCCTGGCAAGGTAGGGATTGTTGAATAAGATGAATAAGTTAGAAAACCTACCCTTGAGATAACATAATCTGGTGAATCACTTGAGTTTATATAGCAGCTTGCAGTTTATAAATCAATTTTACCTCTGGTGGGCTCTTGACACTTACTGATTTATCATTCACAGTTTTAACTGCTACTAGGGGACCCCAAGCGTCCATGACGTACAATAATGTTTTCATTTGCTTCCTACAAATTTGAGTCACATACACTATAAGACTGTGTGGATGAGGTGGTTGCTTGGGTGGTGAGAGAGCCAAGCTGACACTTGTGGATCTCAAGGCAGCCTTGTGCACTCTGTGCATAAATTTATAACTAGCTTCTTGAGCCATTTGTACTCAATGGGCTACAAACATAGAATAAGTTTATTTTTCCCCTATCATCACCTTTAACAAGGTTTTTTCAAATCTTGCTTCTCACTGTGATATCTCGGGCAGATTACCTAGTTTTCAGACACTTTCTGAGGTTAAAAAGTTCAGCATAGTTCAGTTAAAAAAAATTAAGTTTCGTTTCTTTCAATCTCCAATCTTGACATTGCAAGGGAACTTGGCGTTGGAAGTATTTCAGAGTTTCCTTCCTTTTCTCTTCCTTTCTGTGGTGAGGGATGGAAGGACGAGAATGGGGATGATGTCTGTTACTTCCCTGGCCATCGCCTATTCTTATGAAAGAGAGGAGGATTGGGTTGTTCGTGTGGATTTGCTTTGCTGTTGTGGTCACTGTGGCTAAGACATAACTGGCCAGCCATCAACACCCTTGCTGGGGTAAGCATCCTGAGGCTGGCTCCCTGTGGGCACAGGTGGTAACTTTCTGGGGGAGTCCTTACTGAGTGGTTTTTTGGTGTGAGGGATCAGCTTTGGTTTTCCCTCCTTCAAATTCCTTCAGCTTCATCCCTGGTGAGTCACCTCCACAAACTCTTAGTGTTGGGTGAGGTACCCCCAGAAGGACTGAAGCCCATTGATTGACTCCACATTCCACCATGACAGGCTGCTTTGCCACCCCCTTCTTCTGCCCCACTGATTTTTTTCCAGCTCTCTTGTGGTCTCTTTGGGTCTCATTTCTCCCTGCCTAAATGGGCACAGAAAGCTGACGAGCAGGTCTGCTACCCAAGAGGTGAGGTGTTCAATTGGAAAATGAGATGTTGGGCTGCCCTTCTTACTATACCTTTGGTGTCTATGAGAGATTCTCGTAGAGCCTTTGCTACTTTAAAATTGGGAAGAAACAATTCACCCTTTCCTTAATGAAGAGGGAAGGGGAAATGCTCTTAACTGTGACCATTGAATCCTGCCAACTCCACTGTCTCTAAACCGCCTCCCTCCCCACTTCATTGGCTTACGTAAACAGGACAGGAAAGGGATAGAAGTGATGAAAGTGTTACTGAATGCTGTACATCTGTTACCAAAACTGTGGGGGTTTATGGAAAGTCCTGTTGTTTGCTGCACTGAAAGTCAATACTGAGACAAGTATTGCTAGGGAAGGAGTCTTTTTATATAGATGATATCAGCTAAGAAGAATGGGAGATTCTGTCTCAAATTCATCTCCCCTTTCTGCTGATATCAGGGGTTTATATAGGTGGGGCAGGGATGTGGAAAACAGGAACTAGGGAGGGCTAAGGAAGAAGAGTTGGTAAACAGGTGGGGTCTGGCATCTCACTGTCTGGATACTGTGATCTGGTAAGTTTCAGTTCCTTGATACTATGGGCCTGAAAGTCAGTTTCCTGAGAAAGAAACTCATATAAGATAAATGCAAGTTTCAAGCTTTAAGACCAGGAGTGTCAATTGTTATGTTTATTCAAGAAGAAATTGTATCTAGTTGGACTGGTTTCAAAATGATCTAGCCCCAATTTCTTGTGTAAGACTTTCTTTATCCTCAGATCTGGATCCTACCTACTGATTTTGACTCAGTAGGAAAATTACTATTCAATGACTCATTTTACATTTTATGCTAGGTAGGTAGTCACATTAATTGGAGACTTGACAAGGTATGCTGGGAAACATTCTTCTTGAATATTTAGAGATGTCTTTCTTAAGATGTGCTTTATAAACCATCTCTATTTGAACCCACTGGGGAACTTAGGGGGAAGATGCTAATTCCTAGGTCCCACATACAGATATTTGGGTTTTGAGAGTTAATAAATAATCAGGAATCTGCATTTTCGACAGACACTTCAGGTTTTACTTATGCATGCTAAAGTTGGACAATCATTTGTCTAGAGTCTGGTACACATTATCTTAGGTCCTCCCAGAACCTCTGTGAAGTAGTGCATGATATTATCATCATTTTACTGACAAGGAAATTGATATTCAAAAGAGAACCATGTCGTGCTAAATATCTGAGAAATATTCCACTCAAAACTAGTGGTAATGAATATCAATCTGTCCCATGACTCTGTCACTGACTATAATTTTCAACAGAGAGAAAATATCACTCAATTTACTTGTCTTCTTTTCAATTACCAAAGTAATATTTTAGAAAAGTATTTATTTTACCAAAGTAATATTTTGCCAAAGTATTTATTTTAGAAAATCCATAAAGGCACAAAAATTAAGTAAACAAATATCATCTCAACATTCAGATATAATCATTTGTTTCTGCAAACCTACTTTATAAAATTAAAATAAAATCATAATTTAATACTTTTTAGTAATCTGCTTTCTAAACTTAATGTATTTTGAATTTCCTCACCCATTAAACACATCTTTAACATTATTTTCAATGGCAATATAATACTCCACTTAATGGATATACAAATCTATGTTTAACTAATCCCCTGTTGATGAACAATTTGATTATTTCAGCTTTTTACTATTGCAAAAAGATTATTTAAATGTTAGGCATCTTAAAAGGGATTTGAGGAATATTTATCACAGGTGCCAGAGAAAACTGAGCCAATTTTTAAAGATCATATATCAAAAGTATTCGAGGTCTGAAATGACATAGAATATTTCCACAGCCACTACAAAGATTATTTTACATTGTATTCTTTCTTAACAGGAACAAGACCATTTTGTTTTACTTTAACATGTTACGCTGTACCAGCCCCTCCGTGATGTCAACCCTACAGTGCCCTACCACACAGGTAAGGCAAGAAATGCCTCGCTGGGGGTGTTAGCCCTTCTGAACATTCTTGGATGAAAGAATTCAGAAATTCCATTTGAGGTCCATGTGTGTGGTTAATTATGAACTTATAAAGATGGGAAGACACAATTATGAACTCATGCTTGTTCACATATACAATCAAAACTAAGCAGAGCCTGCTTGTGAGTGAGAACAAGTGGTCTTCAGGTTTTGGTAAAATATAAAAAATAATAAATTAATTAAAAACAAAGCAGAGATTAATTATTTTAGAATCACTTGGGAACCTGGCGATGAGCTTGTGCAACTACTGCTTTTATAAATAAATAACTGCAATCCAGAGAAACGGAAACATTCTTCTCAAGGTTAGCATTGAGTTGGGAAGAATCAAGCTAGCCACTGTAACTAATGAGCCCCAGTCTTTCAGTGACTTCAGGAAGTCATGTGTGTCTGTTGACCATATAACAGTACAAGGCAGGTGTCTGTGGTTGGTGGGTTACTCCCCTCCAGGTTCCTTCCACCCGGTGACTTGGGCATTCCTTGAGTCCTCTTTGTCATCTGCATCCAGCTGACAGAAGGAGACTGAGGGTGCATAAAGCGCCCTGCTCTTAAAAGTCTTGGATCAGAAGTGTGCCCCACTTCACAATTCTACTCATACCCCATAGGCACAAAGCCATTTTACACAGTCATACTTCGATGCCAGGAGGAAGGAGCCAAGCAGTGTCAGGACCGGAGCAGTCTTTTTGGTGCTGTGAAAGAACTGGAACAAGAGACACAGGCCTCAACAGAGAGTTCATTGTGCCCCCCGTAGCCTACTTCTTTGGCCTCCAAAACACCCTTCTTCCCAAAGAAGAACCCAGAATCCCATGTGGTACTGTCTTCAGCTCAAAATCTGGGATCTATGGGTGCTGCATAGTTCTTAGATCAGGTCTTGACACTAAATGTAACATGAATGACAAGGATAGGAACAGACTCCTGTTTAGAAAAAGAGGCGTGATACACACGCTGTAGTCTCTGGTGCATGGAATGGAGAACAGTCTTTCATTCCACCTGGACTGTTCCCTGAGAGGAGCTCCCTGATCCATTGTATCCATAGTCCTTTGTCGGCCACCTGGGAGGTTGTTTTGTGGTCATCAGTCTCCAGGCCAGTGAGTGCTGGAAAGTGTGCCCTCTTGAGGACACTTGCTTGGAAGGCTTATTTGGAAGTCCCCTTCCTGTTGGGCAAGTTTGTACTGCAAAGATTATTTTAACAGTGAAAGTTTCTTTTAGTCTAGCTCATGGTTTGTTGGTGTTTGTCTGTTTGGCGTTACAACTATCTCAAAAACTTGGTAGTTTTCTGACTTATTTGCTTCTTCTTGATGCCAGTCACCACACCCAAAGATCTTTCCTAGGACTATTTCGTAAACCTGCTTTCTTTCTTTGGTTGTCTTCCTCAAAGACTTCTGAAATCTTTTTAAAGTTTTTATTTGAAAGTTGTGGGGTACAAGTCAGGATTGGGTACACAAGTGGTTTAGGTGCAGGCAAAGTTTTGGGCTTCCCGTTGGGTCTCATTTCACCTGGATTACTTCTGAAGTCTTATATCTGCTGAGACTAAAATCCACTTGGGATGTTGGTATCTTATTCCTCTGACCACCTCTACCCACTCCCCCAAGGTCAAATCCTTGACTTTGTCAGTACCAAAAATTAAACCGTCCTTTGTTAAAAAGCACAATCCCATTCACAATACCCACAAAAAAATACCTTGGTGTCTTGCTAACCAGAGACATGAAAGATCTTTAGAATGATAACTACCAATCACTGCTCAAAGACGTCAAAGAAGACACAAACAAATGGAAAAATATTCCATTCTCATCGATTGGAAGAATCAACATTGTTAAGATGTCCATCCTACCCAAGGCAATCTACAGATTCAACGCAATACCCATTAAATTACCAACATCATTCTTCTCAGACCTGGAAACAATAATGCAGAAATTCATATGGAAGCATCAATGACCACGAATAGCCAAAACAATCCTTAGGAAAAGAAAAAAAAGCAGGAGGTATCATACTTCCAGACTTTAAACTTTATTATAAGGCTACAATAATCAAAACAACCTGGTAGTGGCACAAGAGCAAACATATGGACCAATGGAACAGGATATAGAGATTTCAGAAGCAAAACCTCAAATTTTCAGTCAACTCATCTTTGACAAAACCTCCAACAATGACTACTGGGGAGAGGAGAACCTATTCAGTAAATGGTGCTGGGAAAACTGGCTGACCACATGCAGAAGATTGAAACAGTATCCCTACCTATCATCATACACAAAAATCAACTCCAAATGGATCAAAGCCCTAAATGTAAAATGCCAAACTTTAGGAAATCTTAGAAAATGCATGAGACACCGTTATGGAAATTGGAATAGGCAACCAGTTCCTGATAAAAACCTCAGATGTCCATGCCATAAAAGATAAGATAGACAAGTGGGATCTCATCAAACTGAAAAGCTTGTGCAAAGCAAAAGAAACCATTAAGAGAGCAGGGAGACAGCCCACAGAATGGGAAAAAATATTTTCCAATTGTGTATCTGACAGAGGCCTAACATCCAGGGTCTATAAAGAACTCAAACGTGCTGAAAGGAAAAGAAAAAATAGCCCCATTAAAAAGTGGTCAGGTCGGGCATGGTAGCTCAAGCTTGTAATCCCAGCACTTTGGGAGGTGGAGGAGAGAAGATTGCCTGAGCCCAGGGGTTGGAGACCAGCCTGAGCAACTTGGCGAGACCCCATCTATACAATAAATCAAAAAATTAGCTGGGTGTCGTGGCGCATGCCTATAGTTCCAGCTATTTGGAAGGCTGAGGTGGAAGGATCGCCTGAGCCCAGCAGGTCAAGGATGCGGTGGTAATGAGTGTGCCACTGCACTCCAGTCTGGGTGACAGAGTGAGATTCCAACTGAAAAGAATACAAACTTTAGAAAAGTTAAAAAAATTTTTAAAGGTGCAGAAGACATGAATAGACACCTCTCAAACGAAGACATGTGAGCAGCCAACAGACACATGAAAAATACTCAGCCTCACCAGTCATCAGAGAAATGCAAATCAAAACCACATTGAGATATCACCTAACTCCAGTAAGAATGGCCATTATTAATAAAACAAAAAACAACAGTGGCTGGTGAGGATGCAGAGGAAAGGGAACACCTCTACACTGCTGGTATGAATGCAGACTAGTTCAACCTCTATGGAAAACAGTGTGGCGATTCCTAAAAGAACTGGACATTGATGTTCCATATGACTCAGCAGTCCCCCTTCTGGGGATATATCCAGAGGAACTCAGATCATTCTACAAAAAAGATACCTGCACACGCATGTTTATTGCAGTACCATTCACAATAGCAAAAACATGGAATCAACCGTGCTGCCCATTGAAACTGGACTGGATTTTAAAAATGTGGTACATATATACCATGGAATATTATGCAGTCATAAAGAAGGACACAGTTATGGACTTCACAGCAACTTGGATGGGCTTAGTCCATAATACTCAAGAATTTATCACAGAAACAAAGAACTGAGTACCACATGTTCTCACTCATACGTGGACCCTGAACATTGACCATAACACTATAAGAAAGGGATTGGCAGTAGTGGGATATTGCCTGGGTGGGGGTGGAGACACAACATCAACAAGGGTACCTGATCTCAAACCAGGCAAAGTGGGGACCAAAGGGAGGCCCAAACTTCACCTGTATGATGATCACGTGTTTACCTAATCCTGAATTATACCTCCCATCTTTAAAATACAATAAATTTAAAAAATAGAAATTAAAAAGAGTTTTTACAAAACTATCCTTTGTTATCTCAGTTGCAAGCATCCCACTCTGCACATCTCAAATCCTCTAACATGGCAACTCCAGAAATTCTAGCTCACTGGGACCTAGAAACCTCTGATCCTAACCCCTCGGCAGTGCTCCCCAGGGCTCTCATGTTTTCGTCTCCCTCATTACCTGAATTAATCCACAGTCCTTCACTGGAATAACCCTTCATATGCACCTTCAATTCCTTACTGCCTCTCAATTCGTTTGTACTTCCCTGGCAAAACCTCGTCCTCGGCTAAATGCAGCTCCATGCCTGAAACCAGGCAGCTATGTCCTCGCAGAAAATCATACGCCGGTCATTTGACGTCAGGACCTAAGGTCCAGTGGTCCCTCAGCACTGTCCGTTTGCTAGCCTACTCTCCTCGAAAACAATTTCACACCTTTTCCTTTCACCTGGAACCTCCAAGACCTTCTTCCCCATCTCCATGCCCGCCTCTGCCTTGGCTTTCTGCTTCACTGAGAAGGTGCAGGCATTCGTCAGAAGACAACTTTTCAAAGCTCTTGCTCTGCCATCCTCTGGCCCATCCATCGGCATCGGTGTTCATGTATTCGTTCTGCCTTCCCTCCGCTTGTACGTTGGAGACCAGCCCCTCCATTTGTGTGTTCGGTCTCATTCCGTCTCACATACTTAAGTGCATCACTCTGGAAGTTTCCTGGGTTTTTTTCTTTTATTGTCATTTTTCTTTCTCTGCCAGATTATACCCTCAATATACAAACGCGCTGTTCTGTCTTTCCTCTCAAAAAATTCCTTCCTTGATCCCACATCCCCTTCCAGCTCCGTATCTCTGTGGCTCTTTTTCGCAAATCTCCTCAAAAGGATGGTCTACACTTATGTGTCTAAACCCTTTCCTCTTGTTCTCATCCAGTCTTTTGTCCTTACCTCAATTTTCCCCAAATGATATCATCGACCTCCACTTTATTAATCTCAATCCATCTTTACTTGACCTAACAATGGCATTTCACCAATCCCTCTTCCTTAAAATACTTTTTCTCACTTGGCTTCCAGAAAGCAACATTCTTCTGTGTTTCCTCCCAACTCTCTGGCTACTCCCTATCGGTCACTCTTGCTGGTTTCTCTTCATTGCTCCAACATCTGGAGTTCTTTCTCCCACTAATCTCCTCCTCTTCTGAATCTGTCATTACTC